ATGACATCAACCCTTCCTGGCCCAGGCTAAATTCAACTAAAGTGAATGGTAAAATGATGCATCCCAGGATGTGTGAGAAAAATACCAGATAATATAAAAGATGTAGGGCCATATGGTCAATCCCTTATTACATTTTACACAATAAATTCAACCATCCCAAATAAAAGTAGATTTCTGTGTTTTTAAGACTCAACTTTAAAAAAAAAGAAGGAATTTTAGTCTGGAAAGGAAATGTAAGCATTCATATAGTAGACCAAAGCGACTAAAGTGACCAAAGGTGACAGATCATTTGCTGCTGTGGCCCCCAGACTCTGGAACTCTCTCCCCCTGAGCCTGAGATCAGTGGACTCAGTGGTCTCCTTTAAAAAGCAGCTGAAGACTCACTTGTTCAAGCTGGCTTTTGTATGACCTTCTTCACCACTCTCTCTTTATTCTGCTCTCCCCACCTATTCCACCTTCCTCAGGATCCACTGATTTCCCTCTTTCCTGTTCACTCTCTCTCTTTCTTAACATTTTTCAAATCACAATTGCCTATTTTTGCTCATTTTAATATCTTTTTAAACATTTTCTAAATGTTTTTTTTTTATTTTTACAATTTTTGTTTTTGTGAAGCGCCTCGTGATTTCGAGGGGCTATAGAAATGGTCTTTTCTTCTTCTTCTTCTATAGTAGTGACTGCAAGTACACCATGATTTTCCCTAATGTGCTTTCTGTCTGTCTGCATGTACACCATAAATCTGATTTGTTAACTTACTCGAGAAAAGTTTGCAAATGATTCTACTTAAGAAAAAATAGGTACTTTGTACTGGTTTGTCTAAATTATAATAACTTGCATTTAAAAGCATTTTGTACACATTAGTGGCTCATACAAAATATTCCCTACTCTTGTGTCGTTATTACACCAAACACCACATCCACTCATTTGTTTTTCAACACATTAGCAGTGGTCTCTAGTATGAATGAATGCCTAGTGAGGAAAAAAGCTCTAGTGCTCCTGTTTCAGGAACAAGAAGTGAGCGAGACAGGAACAGAAGAAGGCAGGATTTGGAGTCTGATTTCCTGCTATTCAGACATCTTGCCTCTGATTGGCTAACAACAACATGGCTCTACCACTGACTCCGTTTGATTTGCAATGTTGATGTTTAGTCTTCAACACAAGCCTGGAGGATTTCTGTCAAGTTGTGGAGTTGCTAATGCTAACATTAGCTTCTACTAGCTGAGATGCGCTCTGCTCTCTCCTGGACGCTAAACCAACAACAGTCTTCTTCGGTTGTGAGCCAAGATGGGTAAGTGCATGTAGGATTATTTTCAGTGTGATGTGGAATTGACTGGATTTCATAATCCAAGTGTTTCTCCGTTTATTTTCCATTAGGGCTGCAACAAACGATTATTTGGATAATCGATTAATCGGATGGGGTCTCGACACGATTAATCGATTAATCGGATTACATGGGGAAATTTTTAAAAACTGCTAGGGAAACGTTATTTCTCTCCTTCCTTCACTTTATTTAACACAACATTATTAGAAAACAGTTCAATAGCAGAAAAACAACATGCCATCACCTAAATTGTCTTATAAGGTGTATAGACAGAGACCCTAAGCTACATCTATCTGTGACCTAAAATGCTTGGTCCAAGTTAAACAGCTTAAGGGCAATTCTCATCTGTTTTGTTTGATCTCATCTGTTGACATATATTTTAAATGTAATTAAACATAGGCTGTGAATTAATCAAAATTGATCACTATTTCCAAAAATGACTGAAAAAATACCAAATAAAACAAAAGTAAATGAATGCCATCCTCCTTGCGATGATGCCCTGGGCAACTGCCATAAAGTCACATCAAGAAATGCTGCTGATCATTCCAATGATCCCAAATAGACTCACATTAGGCCACATGAAAGCAACTGAACCCAAAAATATATTAACCAGTATATAACTGCACTCTCACACAACACGCCTGCAGCAACAGTTAGGACTCCTCCCTCCCTTTTAAAAGCGTTTTTGCTTCTGAGGACATTGTGGTTGTAAAACCACATGCTAGTAGTCTGGCCCCGGTGTGATCAACCAGTTTCTGCGGGAATGTGACGGCGGAACCAGGGCCAGATTAACACTTTGTTGTACCCTGGGCAACAATATTCAAGGGCTCCATCATCACGACCCGAGGATCACCATAATGTGGTCACATACAGAATATTTTACTGTAATATGCAGTAAATATACTCAATACTTGAATGCCTGACAACACGTAACCCGCCCAGAGTAACCTTTGACCCACCTCGTGTGGACTGACCAATGAGGAGAGGGTCTTAACTTGAGGCCCTCTCTTCATTGGTCATTCTGCATGAGACTGACTCTCAACTGACGTTCAGTCGTAGGCAGCGAAGCTTCTCTGTGCAGTGCAAAAGCCCGGGTGGACAGTTTGTTTAATGTAGGGTGACCATATTTCCATTTCCAAACAAGAGGACAGGGGATCTGTGCCTATGACGTCACACTATGGCAACGCCACACAAACCATGTTGGGACCCATTTTTTGTAAGAACTAAATTAATATCAGATTCTGCCAATTAAAGGGCTCTAAAACAATTCATATATAAATATTTAGCATATTTAATGCAAAATCAAATTTTTCTGCTTTAGTTCTGCAACAAGGTTTTATTAATAATAAATTATTATACCTTTTGTTTTACTACAGCATCGGTACGCTTCCTGTGCAGATTATTAAGGATGCTTGTTTCAGCTGTGAGATTAGACGATAGGATCAATGAAAAAATAACTAGTCACACACTCCATGGAAACTTTCAGAGAATCCATAAATAGTGGCTTTCAAATGGTTTTGTTACTTTTTGCAAGTTTATAAAAGAAGCAGATGAGACAGCATGTCTGATAATTTAGTTTTTCATCTGATAATATTAGAACATGTCAGTAATGTCTGAGGGGCTTTTATGAACACCATATAACTAACACTACTGGAAAGGGCATGAATTACACAGAGGCTTCTGGGGAGCCCAGTTATTGGGGGGGGGGGGGGGGGTCATTTTGCCTTGGCCCCCAAAATGTCTTGAAACGGCCCTGGGTGTGTGACTGAGTTTTGAAGGTGATCTGAATTGTATCAGATGTATAAATATGACATGTGTATAACTTATTGTTTTTTATAGGTAAAAACGTGTAGTGGTGATAAATCTACCTACATTTTACTTTTCAACACTTTGTTTTCAGCGCTTTGTTTCACTTTCAGCGCTTTGGGCTTCCTGACAGGGTTGCGGAAGGCGCTTTATAAATAAAGCTTTGATTGATTGATTGATTGATTGATTTTTTGTTTTTATTTAACTATTTTCCTGTCCTGTCTGTCTCTCATCTTCCTGCATCTCCTCTTAATTCTCCAGAAAATCTGTTGCCTGGATTCTTACCTTTTCACCTCATCAGTTACTTTTGAGCAGATCAAAGGGATCTCCTGACCGCAAAGCGCAGAGCGCGTTTTCGATGCTGCGTGAGGTGACATCACCACAGCACAGGTGATGAGCTCCGCAGTAGCGAGCTTCAGGCACAAATAAGACAGAAAATAGAGAACATGTGCAGACAAGAACGATCGTGTGCTAATTATAGTTTTTTGGTTGTGCCACTTTGAGAATGGACCGTGCGCTGGAAGCAGCTGCCTGGATCGCTGTGCAACAATGCGGAACCGGTTCGCAGCAGCGCAAGTCTGCCGGCTCTCCCTCGCGCTGATCTGCCGCTACCGGCTCTCCCTCACGCTGATCTGCGGCTCTCCCTCGCGCTGATCTGCGGCTCTCCCTCGCGCTGATCTGCGGCTCTCCCTCGCGCTGATCTGCGGCTCTCACTCGCGCTGATCTGCGGCTCTCCCTCGCGCTGATCTGCGGCTCTCCCTTGTGCTGATCTGACTTGCTCTGGTCTGCGCGCAACGGCGGACGGGATTCGGGAAGGGGGGGGGGGGGGGGGGGGCGCTTTTGGAAGAGTTGTGCGACACAACGAATCGATGACGCAATTCGTTGCCAACGCTTTTAGTAATCGATTTTCATCGAATTTATCGATTCGTTGTTGCAGCCCTATTTTCCATCAACGGTTAATGCAGGAAATAGGGGTAGAAGACTTTTCTCACACTTCTCCTGCATGTGAAACTCAGAGTGGCCGATCATAATTAAAAAAGAAAAGGTAAAAACGCAGTTTCTCAGTGAACTTGGCCTTTAAGGGCAATCAGTCTGCATCTTTTTTTTCTTCAAATAAAAGTAATTTGATTTTACAGTACCTACATACTGTAACATTGAAAACTGGCGTGGCTGTTTGTAGGACCCTGAACACACCTAGCCGAGTATCCCACAAAACAAAGATATTTTTCTACGATTTAGCCCGTCTTCTAAAATGAGAGTAAAGATAAACCGCAACAAAAAATATTCTTTCAAAAATGGGATTTCAGGGTGATTTGCTAAATTTCCGCATTAAGTTGCTAGTGGGCATAAAAAAACAGGGGGTTTAGGTTTTGCAACATCACTGCCTGCGACACAAACGCTCTGACTCTGATGTGCGGTCCATGTTTACACTGGCTTGTTTGTTTTGTTTGTTTTTACAAGCTCAATTACTGCTTTAGAAGACCACAGGCGAAGGATGACATCAAAGATGGCTATTTCCCATCACCTAGTTATCCGCGTCCAAGAGTGAAAACGAGGTGGTGAGGACTCACGTTGTTTTTGTATTTTGTAGACGAACCTGAGGAGTTGGAAAGCTTATTACTTATTAACTACTTTTTATTTTGGAATTTTGACTTACTGTACAAATGGTAAGCAAAAATAAATAATTTAAAAAAAAAGGAAAGCTTCTGGCAGTGAAACTTTTTTTCTTACAAATCCTATATTTAAAAACTGATCAAATGACTAAATAAAAAACAGAGAACATTTCCAAGCCCTGATAGGAAGGCATTTTATCTAAAGGCAACTAAAGCACGACTGAGGGTGGCCTGGAGGGAAAATAAAAAAGTGGGGCACTTACATGTTTCTCCCCTTCGATCCTCTTGTCAGCCTGTTGAACAGCCTCCAGGTATTTAAAATACAACTCCATCAGTCGATCAACCTGAGGGATGAATGTAAAAGAGGCACTCAAGAGTAAGGCGATGCAGCAGAGAAGAAAGCAAAGTGAAAATAAGAAAAACATGGATGGAGAAGGAGATGAAACACAAGAATCACACACACACAGAGAGGCACTTTTATGTTAGGATGACATTAGTTACTTTAGTTTCTTTGATTAGGGACCTCTTACATAAAGGCTTCATAATTACTTTTGAATTCTAATTTACCTATTAAACATGGCCAGAGACATCAGAGTACAAGGACCTTTTTGTTGCAGAAGTGCGTGTTATGTTTTGAGGTGCATCTTTGAAAATGGTAAAGAAAACCACAAAAAAAGCCATTCGGTAAGTTAAATACCTTAAAGTTCTGTCTACAAATGGTGTAGATTAGGCTGCACACACACTTAAATAAAAGCATGATTAGTAGGTTATGAAGGCTTCGATTTTTATGGACCGTACAACTTCTTATATGAAGCATACTGAAAACAAAGAAAAGCAGATACTTCATCTTAGGCTTCCCGATACTGAAATCTGCTTTTTGTGAATGAGAGTGAATACAAAATAAATGTGGAGCAGGCAGGACAGAAGATGAAAAACAACAATAATAAAGAGACGTGATAAAAACGGACCTTCTCACAATCATTCTCTGTGAACTTGTTGTGGAGCCTGGTTCTCTGCTGGGACTTGAGATTTCTTAGCATGGAGGCGATGACGGAGCAGACGTGCTCTAAGAAACAAAAACAAAACCGAAGCATTGTCACAACTCAGAAATCTACCTCTAGTCTAGGTTAATCCATCTCTAGGATAGCTGTCTTTCTCACAAACACAAACAAATAGTAAATTATAAGGTTTGACAGCGCTGGGGAGATTTGGGGTTGATTAACCTACAACCCGGAGTTTTTCAGATATGAGGAAAATAAGTCACAAGAAACCTTCGTTCTCTGCAACCACTGATTAGTGCCTGGCAGTTTGCAATTACAGCACATACCCTCACAGTGAGTGCACAACTCAAGACCAGTTAGAAATCAATTTTCATTTTGAGGAAAGCTGGAACGTGTGCAAGACGCTTTGGCCGTGTCTGAAATCCAAATTTTAAAATTGCCCATGGCAGCTTTGGAACCATTCTGCTTACAGAGTTCTTAAGACAAGGTGACGTACTGAATTAGGAGCAAAAAGGTGGTCCTTGTTTTACTGATTGATGCTATGTAAGGCGGATCTCAGCCACGAATCCTCTTAGCCACTGAGAATAACGGCCACAGCCAAATACTTCTGCATGATTGGAATGAAAGATGGGATGAACACATACAGGGACAGAATACAACACTGTCAAATATCTCAATATATTGAGCCAAAGCAGAAATATGCAATTGGACTCATCAACAAGAGGTCAATATTTTCTCTCAATGAGGCTTTGCAGTTGCTAGGCAACAAGAGTGCAGGAATCAATCCCATTTCTGCGTTTTAAAAGGGGGTCTTGTTTGCTGTCAGCTCCCTTTGTGCAATCCCCTTATGACCTGCAGCATCCTTACTCACAAGACACCAGAGCTGAGAAAACTAAAGACTGTAACAGCTGCCAGCGTCTGTTATTTCAAAACACACGAGTGCCTGTCAAAAAGGAAAGTGCGAGCAGGAAAAGTCCTGAAAAGGCATCTAAAGGATTTGCACATTTGCAGTCAAAGTGGTTTAGCAAGACAACTCAGGGTAGCACATTTAGTAAAAGCAAACAGTGAATGCTAATGATTATTAATCCCTCCCCTACAACCCTTAAAGCCCTAAAAATGCTTCTCTGTCTTTTCTAAGCCTCTTAACATCAAAATATTGGTGATGAATTAATCAGCAACACTAAAAGCAGCTTTCACAAGACACACCATGCTGGCAAACCAGCGTAAAATTTCCGTCACTGTGTGTCTTTTGAACGTGCCATGGCGGCAAGGCGATCAAAAGAATTTTGTGGCATTCGAGCCGCCGAGTTTGGTAGTAACATTGCTGCAACGTCAGACTTGTGAATGAAGGTTGAGCCTTGGCGCAACAGAGGGTGGTGTCATGATTGCATGTGGAATGTCCGCCAAGCCTCGGCTAGAAACTATACTGAAAAAGAAATTAAACATAAGCAGCAAGTTTCACTCTTGTAACCAGAATCAGCTCAGAGCTGTGGGAGCTCCTCTCCATTCTCCTGAAGCTCAGATCACCAGACAGATCACCGGACTGTGGAGCACAGACACCTTTAAGATCGGCTTTTCAAAAAAAAAAAAAAAAAAAAAAACGTAAGGAATTCAGCTTCAATTACAATAAAAAGCAAGTTGTGTCAAAACTAAAAGGAAATCCGTGACAGCACAGAGGCCGCCCCCTTTATACCGCCATTGCGTAATCTTTTGTGAAAAACACAATCGTGCCACATTACCGCAGCCTGATCACTTACGAAACACCAAAGGCTCATTTCTGCAGCAAACTGGCAGAACTGTTTTAAAGCGGCTTATGAAATGACAAATTTGACAGGCATTTTTTTTACATGCACATTATTTAAGCCATGTAGATAAAGGTTAAAGGGACTTTACGGAGTTTTAAATTTTTATGCTCGTGATTGCCCCCTCTGGCCAAAAGCGTAACGGCAGCCTCAATAGTAGGCTCGAGCACGAGGCGCGCATGCTGTAGTGCACACTCCTTAACGAAAATAACAGCTGAGACAGTCCCGTGTGTGTGTGTGTGTGTGTGTGTGTGTGTGTGTGTGTGTGTGTGTGTGTGTGTGTGTGTGTGTGTGTGTGTGTGTGTGTGTGTGTGTGTGTGTGTGTGTGTGTGTGTGTGTGTGTGTGTGTGTGTGGCCCGGAGGACAGAGAACAGGAGAACGTGCAGCTAATTAATTAAATAATTTGGTTCTGTACCTTTCTCTTCAGCACAGCCGACAAAGGTCCTCCTGCATGCTCAGATCATTCCCTTCCCTTGCTTGAAAAATTGTTCCAAAATGAAAGTTGAACCCACATCTTTTTTATCTGTGAATTCAATACCGTTCGGCGAGTATCAAATAAAGATTTGGGCATCTTACTGTAAAAAAAATATACCATTAATGTAAAAATTAAACTCTACAAACTATGTTCACATCCAGAATCGAACCCGGGTCTTCCACACGAAAGTCCGACGTCTTACTAGACGAGCTACAGCGCGAGTGACGTACTTTGTATCTGTAACATTTATATCCTTGATGACACCTGAAACAACGTTGAAAGAACGGTTCAGAGGGCTATGCCTGAGCGTGAACGCGCATGAAGCAGCCTGCTCGACCCGAGCATCTCTCTTTTTCTGTGATTTTACAGAAAAACAGGCAATCACAGTAAAAATGCCAGGGCTCATTCTACAGGACCAGGGTATTTCAGGAGAATGTATGAAGAAGACATTTATTATTTCTATACATGTTTTGGCTGTCAAACTTCCATAATGTCCCTTTAACAAAGACGGCATAGATTCATCTTTATTTCTTTTCCATGAAAAGGAACTTCCCAAACCATAAAGCTTCTCACCCACAAAATAACAGGAGTCTTGTGACCTCAACTATCACTAGGTGGAGTACACAAACATTGCTAATGAGGCAGTTAAGAAAAAGAATAATGACAACACAAATGGCGTCTAAAGCCACGCACCAATATTTTTTATCTATTTATTGGTAATATTAATAATGTCTCATACTTACGGAAAAAATGTGCTTTTAGCATTCATTTCCCCTGAATAAAATATATAACAGCTTTCCAGTTTGGTTGAATCTTAATAATAATATCACACATAATGATGGAGATCTTCAGTGATATGTTAGTATTTGTTGTGGATGGATTCAGGGAATGCCACCACATAGGGGCTCGACACACAGGAGGCGACAAATGACTGCGATCAGCGAAATTCGTCGCTGTCGCTTTTATTACCCGACACACGGGAGGCGGCCAGTGGCAAAGCTACGCGTCTACACTTTCTATTCCATGGTGAAATCGAAACTTCCGTGGTTTTGTTTGGCTGTCAGGTTGGAGGGGATTAAGGTTATTTAAATGGTTCAGAGTTAATAAAGTGGTAGATATGATGTTTCACAAGGTGCTGCTAGAGTTATGTGAAATCTTACTTCTGATTTTACTTTATAAAACATAATAATAATCAACTTCTCCTCCATGTTTGCTCGGAGGTGTACGGAGCATCCTGTCCGCTCATTGGTCAGTGAATGAAACCTCCGTTGATTGGTCCTCGTCCGAGCGACAGCGATGAAAAGTTGAAAATGCTTCAACTTTCTGGGATCACGTCGCTGGGTCGCCTGTGCACGACACGTGCATGAGCACAAAATTTCACATGCACGTTTGTCGCATTTCGCTTAGTAGGAGGGAGACCCGCAATTATCGCTTTGCCGCGCATGTCTCATTGAAAATGAATGGAGGAGAGGCGATGTCGCCTCCCGTGTGTCGAGCCCAATATTCTGTAAAATTCGCCTGAGTTATAGCCACGTCTGTGCTTGCAAAAGTTTATTAGCTGTGGCATCCATCTTGGACCAAAAGTGTTTTGTCCAAACATTGCAGATGTACATCCAGTCATTCGTTTCTGAGAGACATCGCAACTAAGACCCGTTTCACATGCAAGATAATTGTGATTTTTGATTCAATCCAGTGAAGAGTGCTCTGGTCTGCTTGGAAGGACATTGGGGCCACTACAATAACAGATGTGGGATATTCAGCATGTTGGATTGTCTTCCCTTGGTATAGCAGTGTCTTGCTTGACCAGAGGAAAAACATCTGCAGCCTGTTGAATTTGACGTGTAGCCAATCAGAAAGTAAAGTGACAGAAGCATGCTGCTCAGAGCGCCGTGGAATCCTAATCCTCCTCCCCTTCACTATGTCCGTTTCCTCCAAATTCATGTTTGAGAGGTTTTGTGAGATTTCCCGTCTGATCTGGGAATTTTGTGTGTGAAATCAATTTGTATGTGGTGTAGTTGATTTTTTATGGCTGGTACCACATGCCTTTTGGACCATGAGTGATTTGTTTATGGCCACCTGTTTGGTCTCTCACGGTTTGAAAATAATCAGACTTTTTTTTTTTTTGGTGAGCCAGGTCTAATGTGCACCAAAATCTGGGCTAAACCAACAACCATAAATTGAAAAAATATTTCCTGTCATGTTTGTAAATATCACTGTATAATGTGAAAAATGGATGGAACCTTGATTTGAAAAAAAAAATCACGAATGGAACTGAAATAGCGATTTCTGATAGAAAAAGTGCAATTCAATCTTTTCCTAAAATCTTTCAACTTTCCTAAGCAAGGCCATTTTCCTCACTTTGCAACAGGAAATCTGAAGAGGACAAAAACGTGTGTGACTTTTTGCATCATAATAACTGGTATTGATTGGCAGCACAACCACATTTTAGTCAAAGCATCCCTTATTTAAATGTGGACAAATGTATTTCCAGTACGAAGTGAAAAGCAGGCTGACTGCCATTTCCAAAAGGACACTACTTTATCAACTTGATCCAACTGGTAATTGATGTCGCCACCTCGACGCCCTGCCCAGGGGGCTATTGATCGCTGGCTGTGGAACGTTTTCTCTAAAGGCCTTAAAACTAAACAGATACTTCTCCCTGGAGACATCTGAAGAGGTGGAAGCAGGATTGTATTGTAGGTACCAAAAGGGGGCAAGGTTAAATAAAACAGCTTCCTCATCTATTTGTCTTAGGTAGACATACAATCAATACACACAATTAAAATGT